AGCAGGAATAATTCATGTGTTTCAATGTCCCTGGTTGTTTACGACTCCCCAGCACTCTGGGTATTTCAAAATATTTACCTGTGTGGGTGTTTGTCATAATCCCTGAATCCTTTATTGTCTGTCCATTCTGATTAGGATTGTGGCATAAATTCTGTCTGAGGATAAGCACTTCAAGTTCATTCCCCACCAAAACCTCTACACAAACTCTCCTCTGTAAACTGCCATCGGAGCTTCCCTGGCAGTCCAGTGGTTAGGACTGTGTGCTTTCACTGCTGAGGGCTCGGGTTCAATCCCTGGTCCGGGAACTAAGATCCTGCAAGGTGCAAGGCCACAAAAACCCACAAAAAACAAAAAACTGCTACCATCTATTTAGGACCATATTTTAGAGCCAGAATGGCCATGCTTTTGAAAAAAAAAACAAAAAACAAAATACAACAAACCCCAATCTGTGAAAAGGCCCATAGTCATTCGAAGAAAACACTGACAGTTTATACAGTTTCATGGAAAAACAAAAAAAAAAACAGAACAACAACAACAACAAAAACTGGAAAGAATGGAGACTGGAGTGATGTCCTCATTCTAACCATGAGTGGCGTGGGTGGGACTACAAGCCAGGCCAGTGCTCTTGCAGGTGGTCCCCAATGACACCCCTTGAGCCACAGATTAGCCTCATGTTATCTTTGCTTTTCCTTCTCTAAAATGGAGACCCTTCCCACGCCATCCAGGGTGGGAAAGACCTGGAATCACACCAGCGTGCTTGCAGGAGCTGCTAGGAGAGGGCCGGATGATAAGAACTTCCTCCCAGACACTCTGCACGTTGGAAAGCCCCGGTCTATGGTGCAATCCCTCAGAGGTGTGCTGCCAAGTTTCACCCTCAGAGGAAAGAATGAGGAAAAGAGGGCAGAAGGGCTGGGCCCCAAACCCGGTTGCGTCATGTGAAGTCAAGAGGGAAGGTAATGTAACGGTGTCACAGGATGTGAAATCCAGCTTGAGTCTGAATCCTGCGACTGATTCAGGCTCGTCCCTTCTGAGCCTGTTTCCACAGATTCCTCCCTCAAAGATCACACATGAGGGCGCCCAACAAATATTCCTTAGTCAGACACACCACATTTTCTCTTCCCTCTGGGCTTCTGCCCATGCAGGTTCTTCTACTTTCCCTCCTTGTATATGGCTCACCTGATCTTCTGGGGGACTCAGCTTAGACCTCATTTCTTCAGAGAAAGCATTCTGACCACCCCGAGGGGGTAGGGTCGGGTGCTCATCTTCTGGGTGTCCACAGACTCTAAACATAGATATCATAGCACTTACCCCCTGGACCATCTCCTGGACTAGAGTGTGAGCTCCTTGAGGGAAAAGGCCACAGGTTATCAATCTCTGTGCCTTCAGCACCTAGCGCTTAGTAGGCCCTCGAAGAATAAATGCTAGTTCACATGGTAGGTGCACAATGAGTTCTGTCCTCTCCTCCTCCATTCATGACCACAGAAAGTAGCTCCAGGAGACAAACAAGCAAACAAATCCCAGTTCTTAGGGTGCCAAACCAGAATGCTAAATTTTTTTTTCAAAGTACTGTAATTCTGGTTTAAAAACCAAGTCACTTGCACAGAGTTTTGTTTTTAAACACTGACATCAACTGTAAAAAAGAAGAAATCCCCTGAAAGTAAACAGTGCCCTACAGTGAGAACTCACCACCTATACAACTTGGGTCCCCACCACATGCTCCCCCAAATTCCATCTGGCTAAGACAGAAAGGGTATTTGTCCAAAGGTTTCACAGCTTCATTTCATTCTGTGCTAGCAGCAGGCAGGTGCGAAAGCCATGATGACTAGGATGCTGTTTTATCAAAGCGTCAGGATCCTGAAAAGGGGATGATGAGACAGAGGATAGCATTCCTACCATCTTCCCTGGGGGTGGGGAGGGGGCTGTGCTTCCTGTGAAGAGCAGAGACTTGGGGTCACCTGAATGACCTAGAATTTCACCTTCTCTTCCGACCTATCTTCTTCCCAGTATTATACTCCATCTCATGCTCAAAAAACATTTGCGATGACTGTCATTGTTTCTTCAGGCCTATGTCTATATCATGGACCTTTAGTAAAGAAGGGACACCCTAGCTGTATGATCTTGGGCGAGTGACTTTCAGGTGTCTTGAGCCTCAGTTCTCTTATCTGTAAAATGGTGATAGCAATGAGCAAACTGGGTTACTGTGATTTTTATTTATTTATTTTTAAAATTTAATTAAAAAAATAAATTTATTTATTCTATTTATTTATTTTTGGCTGCGTTGGGTCTTCGTTGCTGCGCGCAGGCTTTCTCTAGTTGCGGTGAGCGGGGGCTACTCTTCGTTGTGGTGCGTGGGCTTCTCTTGTTGTGGAGCACAGGCTCTAGGTGCACGGGCTTCAGTAGTTGTGGCTCATGGGCTCAGCAGTTGTGGCACACGGGCTTAGTTGCTCTGTGGCATGTGGGATCTTCCCGGATCAGGGCTTGAACCCGTGTCCTCTGCATTGGCAGTCGGATTCTTAACCACTGCACTACCAGGGAAGCCCCTACTGTGATTCTTAAAATCCATAATATACGTGGAGAACTTAGCCCAGTGCCTGCCACATGGTAGGTACACAATAAATGAGAGCTGTTTTTACTACAAGATCCAGAGAACAGCAAGTTCTAAAATGGGACTTCCAGGAACAAAAGGAAAGAGGACATTGGAGTTTCTTGGAATTATGTCATAGAGAATCCAGAACTCTGCATGAGGGGTGATGGTCATGGGGACCTCTGAAATTTCTGGAATGTTTGTAATTCTCCCATCTTTGTAATTTTCTCCTGCAGTCTTGCTTCATTTAGGTCAGCAGTTCAATTCTTTACATGAAAAAGGCCCAAGTGCTTATTTAGGGGATTCATTTTGGGCATAAAAGAAAGAAACTCTAAGAGACCAAAGGAAAAGGCCTTAGTAGAGAACAGCTGGAATGTTTGGGGCCAAGAGGAATGAAGAGAGGGACATTCAGAATGTTGACACAAGAACAGGAGGTCCCTTGAGGCCTCATTCTGGGGAGTTCTGCAACCTCTCAGATCTGAGCAGACTCTTCCTCCTTCCCTCCCTGCTGTTCCCAGAGCTCCACCCACAGTGCAAGTATCGCAAACCACAGCAGGTTGGGGAATACTCTGCTCGGACTCTGCTCAGACACCATGACCCCACCTGGTGTAACCTGACACATCCAGTCACCAGGATGTTTAAAGGACACCTGATTCTTTCTGTGACAGCATGGTTACCCTAAACCACCTAAGGCATGACTACAAAGAAGAGAATCCCAGCCTCTGGCCTCAGTCCACACACGATCAAGTCAGGTCACCTGAATCTGGGTCAGGAGGGAAAGCTGCCCTTCAGGGGCAGAGAGAATTACTGCATGCCTGACAATCCATATCCACAGGGCAATGGTTTTCAACCCTGGCCTAGGCATCAGAGTCACCTGGAGAGCTTTAAAAACTCAGATGTTTAGGGCTGTTCTAGACCTGCTAAGTACCTCGAGAGTGGCACCTGGGAATACATAGTTTCCATAAGTGCCACAGGTGACTGAGATGTGAGGCCAAGCTTGAATACAATGCTTCGTGCAAGTATCATGTCTTGAACTTCCCGGAAATTATCTGGGTTCCACACAAGGAGACAAGCTGTCTTTCTTTCCTAAGTGGCATCTGCAACCAGACCGGTCTGTTCTAGCTTCCCTGACTCTCCAAGAGGAGGGAATCAATCAAGAAGCAGCTGCACTCAGCTGCCTAACCTTCCCAGGCCTTTTCTCAGGGTCCCTGCACATTGGAGACACCTTCCTCATCACCACAGAACTCAATAAAAGGTGCACTTATTACAGAAATTAGATTCAGATTCAACAAACGTTTTTGCAGCTCCTATTTTGTGGCAGGTCCTGCACCAGACACATAAATTACAAGCCTGTGAGAGAGGCACTACATCGTTCCTGTTTGGGGTGCACTCTTGGAAAAAAAGTGTTCATCAGAGCTTTACCAACTCATTACAGCAATCCTCAGGGAGATGTCTTCCCAACATGGTGATTTATTACCTATGATCAACATTCAAATTGGGGTTTATTGACTGACGTGTCTTCTCAACATTCTTTTCAATTGCTCTAATGGTGGATGTGGCTAGGCTGAGTGCATGACTGTGAAATTATCTGAGGCTTAACTCCTTCGGCTGTCAAAACACCTAGCTTGTATTTTTTTTTTTTAAGTAAAAATATGGAACACTTCACAAATTTGCATGTCATCCTTGCGCAGGGACGATGCTAATCTCTGTATCGTTCCAATTTTAGTATATGTGCTGCTGAAGCCAGCACACTAGCCTGTATTTTTTTTAAAATAAATTTATTTATTTATGGCTGTGTTGGGTCTTCTTTGCTGTGTGCAGGCTCCTCATTGTGGTGGCTTCTCTTGTTGTAGAGCACGGACTTCAGCAGTTGTGGCACGTGGGCTCAGTAGTTGTGGTGCACAGGCTCTAGAGCACAGGCTCAGTAGTTGTAGCGCACGGGCTTAGCTGCTCCGCAGCATGTGGGATCTTCCCGGACCAGGGCTCAAACCCGTGTCCCCTGTATTGGCAAGTGGATTCTTAACCACTGCGCCACCAGGGAAGCCCTCTAGCCTGTATTTTAATCATGAAAATAATTCCTTGTCGGCCTGACCTTTGGAAAACAATCAAACCATTTGCTGGGAATCAAAGAGTTGGAAATAAGGGACTACAAGAGAGTATGCAGGTGCTTTCTGGTGAAGAGCATTCCTTTTATTGCAGCTGATTAGCACTATGAGCTATGACTACATTGTCTCCATTTTTAAATGTGATGAAACCGAGGCTTAGAGAATCTCAGTAACTTGCCAAACACACACAGCTAGGACAGGGAGGCAAGGATTTGACCCCAGGTCTTCCGATTCCAGACCCATGCTTTTGCCCTAGCGCCACTAGTGACCCTAGGCACTATAGGGTGAATGACTATAGTCACTTATGTGCAGATTTATGATCGTTGAAAATTCACATACTGTTTTTATGAGCCACATGTGAAAATCATGGGTTAAGATCCAACAGAATTTTAGGACATAATCATAAAAGTAACAAGGGCTGAGTGACTTGTCCAAGATCAAACAGCTACTAAGAGGTTGAGCCTGTATATGACCTTAGGTCTGTATGGCTCCACAACAGGATCTCTTTTTAACTAAAGGCACATACACAGTGCAGTGGAGAGGAAATCACACGAGACAGGACTCAGAAGCCATGGATCCCTGTCTCTGTTCCAATCTTTATTAGCTATATCACTTTGGACAAGTCCCCTGCCTTCTGTAAAATGGAAACAATGATCTCTGACCTACTTTCTGAGATGTGAAGATCCAAATGGACGAAAAAGTATTCTGAAAATTCCTTCCATAATATAATAGAGCGTAGGAACTCACGTAGGCCAGTCAGACAGACCTGGGTTCAAAAATTCCGACTCTGCCACTTACTGGCTTGTGTGACCTTGGACAAGTGATTTTACTTCCCATGCTTCCATTTTCTCATTTGCAAAACGGGGCTAAATCAAGTACCTCCTCCAAAAGGTTGTTGTGACGATTAAATGAGAGCATCCATTTACACAGGGATTGCCCGACACACAGTACAGGATCAATGAACGTCAGCCATTACTACAATTATAACTGTGCCTCTCGGGTTTTCAACTTCCAAGCAACGACTTTCTGAGCTACCACACACGCCCTGGGCTACGGTTTCGGTCCTATTCGCTGCCTTCCTCCTCGGGACTTGTCCCTCCCTTTCCAGTCCCCATTTTCCACAACCCATCTTAAAACCCTCCAGGAACCCGAGCTCCCTTGCCCCATTTCGGCGCGGTGTCTTACTCGACGACCTTGGCTGGGTCCCCGTGGTGCCCATAGACCAGCGCCCGGACCCGGGAGGGCTCAGCAGATGCGGAGAAGGTGGCGGTAACAGGCCGCCGGCGGCGGAACGCGGGGAATAGCCGCCGCCGCAGCTGAGCCGGGGTTCGCGCCCTGCAGAGCGTCCCGCAGACCCACATGCTCCCTCCTGTTAACTCAGAGCCGGACGCTGTGAGATACGTCATCTTCCAGCGACCTCGCGCCTGCGCCCCGCCCCGTCGCGTGACCACGCCCTTTGCTCCTTTTAGAAGGCCGTCCCCTTCCTCCGCGGTCCGCGCGGTGGCGCTTGGTGAGACGGACTGGGGAGCGAGGCCTTGTCGGTGGAGGGACTTAAGGGAGTCTCGGAGATTCTGAGCCTGCCAGAGTTGAACTCCTAACAAGGAGCGTCTGATACTGGCCTAAGGCTGTGTCTATGGTCTGCGATTGGTGTTTGACTTGGGGGGGAAGACATTTCACCTTCTCTGGCCTCAGTTTCTCCTCCTCCCCACCATTTGAGTGTTCACTCTGCCAGGCCCTTTAAGGCATTATCTCATTTAATCCCCGGTGTCTTCTGCTAGCATAGGGTGGCAAAGCTTACTTCCCTACCCCAAGTAGAGTAGATGTAAGC